TAATTTGTATTATTCTTTTTTGTCTTTTTTTTCTTTTTACATATTATTTTCTACTTATATTATCCTTGTTATTTTCATTGTTCTTGCTTTATTCTCATTATTCTTCTTTCGTTCTTTCATCCGTAGCTTCCGATCTGGACTGCATCAGAGCCCTATTCAATGAGAAAGAGAAGGAACTCTCGTTGGCCGTAGCGAAGGTTGAGGAGCTGACGCGGCAGCTGGAAGAACTCCGAGGTCGTCAGAATGCTCCCGCCGGTGGTGGAAGCGCCGGTAGCATCGGGGGCAGTCTCACGGGTGCTACCGGCAATGGACATTTGGTCACCCCAGCCAGTGCCGAACTGGAGAAACTTAGAAGGGAGCTTATGGTAAATTCGCGTCATCGATTATGGTCTCAAGAGAGCCGATCTTGTCTCGCAAAAGCGCAGAGTTTTTGTCCTATTTTCAATCTACGTTAATTGAATATAAACCAATTATGTCACATATTACATTTTATAGGACGACCCAGAATTTGCGGAAAGCAGATGTACAATGTCATTTTAAATGAAATTTAAATCCGATTTTTTCTTGATTGTTATCGTGCTGAAATATATACTAACAATTTTCTAATTTATATTGAAATAGGTTTTTTTAGAGCGTAAGAGATTGTTATTTATTGTTTAATTATTTAATTTGAAAAAAATGTACCTTAATAAAATAAATAATAAAAAAATAGAATATTAATATTTGAAAAATTTTGTTTAAATTATTGATTTAAATTTTTATAAATATTACTTTATTTTCGTACTGAATATTTATTGAATATTTAGGTAAAATATTTAATTTATTAATGTGCCTTTTCATTTTTCATATATATTATTTTTTTCATATGATAGAGAGAAACATTTTTTTTTTTTTTAATAAAAGATAATATTATATAAAAAATATATATTTTAAAGTGAAAAATACTGAGATTATTATCTCACTTTTTAAAAAATATGGAGAAGCATATTTTAGTTTTATAATTTTTAATTGTGATTATTTTTAATTGTGAATTACTAATTGTTCATAGTATTGAAACTGATATGTAGTTGAATACATGATAATGAATTAATTATAGCGATTTTTGTGCGCATTTCAAGCGTATTATAAGATATAAGGAAAAATCAATGAAGAAAAAACCAAATTTATTTCCTCAATTTGTATGCAGTATCGCAACAAGATGAATGAACAGCAAAACCAAGTAGTATCCCAACAACGGCAGGCCTTGGCACAACGACAGGCCGAGATGGCATCGATAGACGCGCGAATAGCTCAACTTCAAAGTCGTCTCCAGCGCAAGAGAGCATTGAATCAACGATTAACGCAAGTGGGTCCTAATGGCGGTGGTGTTAACAACACAGGATTCCCAGACACAAAACTCGATGGTTTTAACAACAGCGGCAAGTTAAGACCGGCCGGCAATATCGCCGCGATCGAGCCGTATTCACACATACCGAACGATAATGATTTCAATTTAAACAAAAACGACCCTAAGTACCAGACACTGCCATACAATACCAAGTTTACAATGAACTTCAAGGCTATAGAAGACGACGTGAACAAAAATAAAATACAACATTCAGCGAGCGCCTCCCAGTTGGGACAGCGGCCGACCTTTCAACAATACGGACATCAAATCGTTCACAGCCAATCGCAGTCTCATATTCAGGGTAAGTGTTTTACTTGCAATTTAATATTTAAAACATTGAGCATCCATATAATTATTTATAACGTTAAAATTATTTGAAATTAAGTTTTTTTCTCGAAAAGATAATTTACCATAAATATTTGTAAATTAATAGCCAATACAATAAATACAGAATTGTTATTTCAACAAATAAAAAACATTTTAAATGTGGATCTAATTATCGTCAAAAATATTTAGGACAATCTCAATTACTAGGAAGCAATCAACAGCAACAGCAGCACAATCAAAATCTTGGCAACCAATCCACGACAATTCAATCGAGTTGCAACTACAATAACAACAACAACAATAACAATAACAGCAACAATCTCATCTGTAATACTGCGCATAACTTTAGCCCGGACAATTTGTCACAAGGTCTTCGTCTTCATCAAGGTCATCAGCATCAACAACAATCGCAAACACAGCAACAGCAACAGCATCAAAATGGCAATCTTCAGCAGAAGCAACACAACGTGACCAGCATTAGCGGTGCATCAACGACGTCGAATCTCGTAGGTGTTACCGTTCCATCGATTATACAAACGCAGAATCAACATCGAAATCTGCAGCAGACCAGTGGTCATCAAAAACCAGTGTCGAGCGTGGCACCAAGTTTTTCAGTCAAGTCACAGATCTATCAAACCTCCTCGACCAAGATCCATCCAGTTATGCCACAGACATTGAGCCTACTGGGTCGTGGACATAACAATGCAGCACAAAACTACATCGGCAACAATCAACAGTTAGCGACGGCGAATACCCAGCTACAATCTAGCACTGGGAATCAAGAAGCAAATTATAGACATGGTTATTCCGTTGCTCAACAGCAGCAGCAACAGCAACAACAGCAGTATCCAAATCAGACGACGAACATTCATGCGTCTTCTCCGGCAGCCGTATATCAGATCCAGAGTTCGTCCAATCTCGTTGGTCTTCATGGCACCACTACGACTTTCGGCAATTCTTCTCAGAAGTATAATCAATCATCACAAGTGTTGAGTTCTAACGATCTCGGGCAAAGCCAGGATCAAATACTGAACAATCAAAAAACTAAATTTGAACCGAGCAAGAGTCAGGACAAGTTCGAACATGCATTACCGTCTAACAATAAACATGAACAGCAGCAGCAGCAGATTAGATATGATCAGAATCTCACGGGCAAGTACGAGATACAGCAACAGAGTAGCAAGCATGATCCAACTGGAAGTCAAGCCAAACATGATCAGCATCTGCACAACATTAAGTACGAACCTGGTTGTCAGAATTCGCAACAGTATGCCAAACATGAGCAGCAGCAACAACAGCACGAGGGAAGATTGTCGAACAAGTATGATCACAATCCAACATTTAAACACGAATCTTCGAATGCCAATCAATACAAATCGGAATATAAACCTGAGCCAAACAAGTATGAGAGTAGTGGCCAGAGTAAATTCGAGATGGTATCAGCCAAATACGAACCAAATTCCACGACGAAACACGCGGTTGATCATGTGGCCGCCAAGTTCGAAATCCCCGCGAAAACACCGGACAGGCCATTCGAATTCGACAAGTCGGCGACAAAGAGCAACGACAGCGAAAGAAAGAATTTCAATGAGCCGCGAATAGAGGATAAGACGAAACCGGCATTGCCGCCGAAACCGAGCAAACCGAATCCACCGCCAAGACTTACTCATCACGAGAAAATTGATGTGTCGTCATCCGAAGGAATCAATGAGTGCAAGATAACTAACACAAATCTCAATTCAAGGTTCGTATATGCTTTTGATTTTTAAATAATAATTCTATAAGAAGTAAGATAGAATTAGATATGAAGATGTAGTAGATTTTGAGAATTATAATCTTATGTTATATTGTTGTTATATTGACTGTCTCTATTAAATAAGTCTATCTACTATATGTATAAATAAGTACTTTGTTAAATATTTCCACTGTAAAAAAATTTTGGAAAAGAAGTTCCAAAATTTAAGATCATATTTCATTAGACATCTTATACATAAATTTTAAAAGTTAACAATTTTTAATATATTAAACAGAGATTTCGCGCTTAAAAAATGCTTGTGCGTAATTTATTCTCAAATATTTCATTCAAATATAATATTTAAATCTTTATTATTATTTATAATAAAATGTACATAAAAGACTTTTGTCCGCGTGTTGTAATTTAAATCTGTTTAAACACTTTACATTCTCTTCACACTCCTCGTAGAATTACAATATTATATTATCAAGGAATTCATCGAACAGTTCACGCGGACTCAGACTGTGGAATGACAAAACAATTACTGGGTTAATTATAAATGTTAATTAGTTCGCGATCGATTTGGCCAGTGAATCGAAGCCTGTCTCGAATAATAGACACCGAAATAGAATCGCGGCTCCGCGGAGACGACATGGGCCCGCGCTCCTCTTAGTGTTCGTGAGTTCTCCGATCAGTGCACGCCAGTGATACATACGATTAACGTGCCTGCAATTGCCAGGAGATGATTTCGTGCATGATTAGTCACGAATCGATGCTCAATTACGCGGCTGTTAATAACATCTGTTTATTGGATGATTAATGTTGATAGACATATCAAGCGACAGCCAGATCAGATACAATCGTGTAATTTCATCGTAGTTTTTATTTGTGCCCTTTGCGATTTATATGCAGTCGACCGAGGATTCGATACAATTATTCAAGATTTATAAAATATTGAATGGGATTTTGGCGTTGCAAATTATATTCGGTTTCCCTTTTGTCAAAGTCGATAGAGAATTGTAAGTGATCTGAACAATTCAATATTTATATTTTATCTTCTGTTGAATTTTTTATAATACAATATCAAGCACAATATTCGAATTAATTAATTTTTTAAAATTAATATACTTAATTTAGACTAGCAATAAAATTATTTAATTTAATTAGCTACAATTTTTCATCGTTTTCAATTCATCCATGTAATCAATAATGTAATAATAATTCAATTAATTATTGATTTTTTGATTTCCAAATTTGTTTTATAAATCTCGTAGGTCGGATAAGGACGAGGAAATACCGCCGATTCCTACGTCAGAACCGCCTGAATCTCCCACGGAAACGCAACTGGCCAATCATCAGATTATCAAAGCTCGGCCGTTAACGCTAAAGAAAGTACCGATTTCAGAGCAACCGAAACTGAGATATGCCAAATCCAATGTTCACGTGTCGATAAATCGCCGAATTGAGATGCCCCCGGCCTTCCTGTTTCCGGAGACAGAAATTCCGGCGGATCTCATGCAGACTGATCAACAGCAACAGCAGCAACATCAACAACAAATCATCGACACTACGGACAGTTGCAAGATTACCAACGAAGATAATATCGGTGAGGGCGAGAAACTGGAGGAAACGGACATCATCGACGCTCTGAATGTAATCAACATAGAGGACAAGCCGAAGATGAAGACCGACTCGGAATTGACCGGGGGAACTGGAGGTGAAATGGAGATAGACGGAAGCAAGATATCGGAAGTAATGAGGAGGAAGAAGGGAAATCTCAAGTCGACGAGCACGGGAGGCGGTGGTGGCAAGGTCAATCTGTCCAGGCGAGTGTCGTTTGACCCACTAGCGCTACTACTCGACGCTAGTCTCGAGGGAGAACTCGAGCTCGTAAAGAAAACCGCGAAAGAGGTCGCCAATCCGAGCTCCGCTAATGATGAAGGTATTACCGCTCTGCATAACGCTATATGCGCCGGTCACCTCGAAATTGTCAAATTCCTCGTAGAATTCGGCTGCGACGTTAACGCCCAGGACAGCGATGGATGGTAAATTGAACACAGATTTTTTTTCGACAACTGCGTATAAGAAAATATTTTGCTAAATGAAGGTGAAAATCGTATTCTTCTTCACTTGATTTCAAGTAGCTTAATAGAATTATGATTTAAAGTCTATAAAAATATATGATATAATATAATTGAAAATTAAAATATACTCTTTGAATAAACTCTCTCTCACTTAAAAGAAAAATCTGATCATAAAAGAATTCGTTATTAAAAGTTAGAAAAGATTATATATAAAAGCCTATTGTAATATGTATTGTTCTAAAAAAAAAATTATTAGTTTATATATAAAATATTTTTAATCTGCTATAAACATTTAAATATTTTTCATATAGGACGCCATTACACTGCGCCGCCAGTTGTAATAATTTATCTATGGTGAGATTCTTAGTCGAACATGGTGCTTGCATTTTCGCAACCACCCTTTCAGATCACGAGACTGCTGCGGAAAAATGCGAGGAGGACGAAGAAGGATTCGACGGATGTTCGGAGTATTTGTATAGTCAGTATCATCAGAGCAAAGTTTAAAATCAATTGTGATACAAAGAATATATTTGTAAAAAAACATTTTTTTTGTACACATAGGTGTTCAAGAAAAGTTGGGGATTATGAATAACGGTCAGGTATATGCGGTTTTCGATTACGAGGCCCAACACGCTGACGAACTCTCATTGAAGAACGGCGACTCCGTAATCGTATTACGGAAGGGGGATGATAACGAACGGGAATGGTGGTGGAGCAAACTCGGACATAAAGAAGGCTACGTACCTCGGAATTTATTGGGAGTAAGTATAACTGATTATAAGTGACTGATGATAAGTGAAATTAATATTTTTTCAAGTTGAGCAAAATATCATGAAATTGCATTTTATAATCTACTATATCAAAATAGATTTTTTAAAACATCTACTATACACATGAATATCAAAAAACATTGCTAAATATGCCAAAATATAATTTATAAATATAAAAAATAAATTTCAAAAAATTTCATGTAGTAAAATTCCAGATCCACATTTCAAGTATATAATTTTAAATATTATTACTTTTCAAGTATAAAAATATTGTATTAGAAATAAGTTTATTATACAAAATTCTTTCTCTGCATTTTGCATTTTAAATATGTTTACTAATTCTAATAATGCGTATGAGACATAAGAATGTTGCATTATATATTTCAGTTATATCCCAGAGTGCAGCCAGCGAAAGCGATTGATTAAAATGTTCGCAGAATATCCGATGATTACGACAGTATTCGACTTGCAGCTTTATCTTGTTAATTGTTATAACACAATATATAGGCACATTAGTAAATATTTAATAGCATTGCCATCCGAATGGATATCGCAAAGAGGGAAGCTACCCAATTTTTTTTTAACAAATGTAGTAATCTTCTAATTACACAGCACGCGTATGTCATTTTTCTTGTAGCTTATAAAATGAGATTGCGTCATTGTGGATTTGGAATGATTTTAATCGGCTACGATTTGCCATGAATCCGCGAGTCGAATGATCGTACAAATACAAACCTGTAGTTATTGACGATATATGACAATGCATTTCCTTATGACTTTTTCTCACGTTTTAGATAAGACAGATATTTTAATAACGATTGCACAGCTATTGGCCGAATGTCCGATTTTACATTTGTCAATTTATAGTTGCACAGGCATTCTCAACTCAACTTTCTATTTGAAAGTTTAATTAAGTTGAAAGTTGTTGAAAGTTGAATTGAGAGACATGTCGTGTCTCTCACTTACACTCGTAAACCATCAAATTATTTATATAGCGATATATTTTTAACGTACATTTATTCGAATATTGCGATTTGTTTCGAAAAAAGGAATTTTATTTTTTTATACAGGCTTTTCTGGGATTGACAAAAATGCACGCATAGCTTTAATTCTTGTGAAATTTCGAGATAATTTTTGTTAACGGGTTTCCCGCTCTGTAGCAAGTTAGGTTTTAGATAAGCAAATAAATAATAAAATGTTATTCGTTATTTAATGTAAAGTGTATTTTACTTTCGTTTTGTACTTGTACAAAATTTTAATTTAAGTCTTTAGTTTTTAAGATATTGCATGTCTAAATTTGATAAGTTATGAAAAAAATAATCGCGCTCGAATATTTTCTTTGCGACTGTCTCGAAATTTCACAAATCCTATATGTCCATTTTTTATCGATTTTGGATCCTGTAAATGCATGAGCATTGGTTTTACGAGTTTTATCGCTTTAATTTGCTTCACCTAAATGCTTAAGTTTAGATGAGGTCAGATTATATTGTTTCATTACTTGCCCAGGATATTTTGGTATGTATTATCGGAATCTCGCGGATTTTGTTCATTCGATCTCCGATCTTTTTTTTAAAGTTGTTCCTAAATGACGCGTAACGTAATCTTGCCGATACGCACGATGAACGATACGAGATAGCGTTTCAAACGACGATGTGCAATTATATGAAAAAACGTAAATAGGGCACTAAAGAAATATCGATGATACGTTTCGATTGCGCCCAATCATATTACTATTTCGATATATATATATATATATATATGTATATATATAGA